TTGTCTTGAATACCCTCTTATGAATTTCCTCTGCAATGAGGCTCCTAGAATTCACCTTCAGTCTCACTCTCCACTTTGGCTGCCTTCTCACGTGGTATGGACTGAATTGTGTCCCCCTAAATTCACATGTTGAAATCTTAAGCCCCCAATGTGACCGTGTTTGGAGATAGTGCTTACAAGGACGTCATTAAGCTTAAATGAGGTCATAAAGCTAGGGCCCTGATATAATGGGATTAGCATCCTTTTAGAAGAGACACTGGACAGCCCACACTCTCTCTTCCTCTGCCTCCTCAGGTGCACAAAGAGGTCACATAAGTACACAGCGAGACCATGGCCACCTACAAGCCAGGAAGAGAGATCTCCCCAGAAACCAACCCTACTGGCACCCTGATCTTGAACTTTCAGCCTCCATAACTATAAGAAAATAAATGTCTGTTGTTTAAGTCCATGGTCTTTGGTTATGGCAGCCTGAGCTATCTAAGACAACTTTCTTCACCATGCTTTACCTCCAGCAATCTCCTCTGGTCTATCGTGCCTGATTTCTCCTTTAGCGCCATCTCCTCTGCAATTTTGAGTTATTAACCTGAGTACCACGGGCACATTCTCCATTCTCCTGAAGCCACTGCCGATGAAGATTGTGTCAATCTAATCAAGATATTATTGGATAAGCCTTTCATAACTGACGTGTTTAAGATAAAGTCCCTAGTTCTGAGAAAGCAAGTCAGTGCTCAGCTTCCACCTTCGCGAAATCCTGATTTCACAGTCCATAGTGGGTATGCTTCCCAATCAGAAGTTATAACCATTTCCTTGAAGATAAAATTCTTTTCTCTTTCTTTCTATATATTTTGTGAATAATGACTTTCGAGAAGAGATGGAGTAAAAATCCCTTTACTTCACTATCTTTAACCAGACGCATTCATACACACACATACACTTTTTTTTTTTTCCTAGAGAAGGGAAGGGAGGAAGAGAGGGAGAGAAACATCAATGTGTGGTTGCCTCTCATATGCCCCCTACTGGGGACCGGGCCCACAACGCAGGCATGTGCCCTAGACTGGGAATTGAACCAGTAACTCTTTGGTTTGCAGCTCAGCGCTCAATCCACTGAGCCACACCAGCAGGGGATGGGGGGGTGGGGGGGGTGGAGTGTGTGTGTGTGTGTGTGTGTGTGTGTGTGTGTGTGTGTGTGTACGTGTGTGTCTGTGTACGTGTGTACACATATATTCACAAGGTCTGTCCAGAAGGTATCCAGACATGTAATATGAAAAAGAGACATTTATTGAAGAGACAAGATACAAGAAATATTGTACATGGGACAATGACACCTCAGCCCCCTTCAAGTAGGCACATTGGGACCTCACATAGTTCTCCTAATAGCCATCGGCTGCCCCATTGTACTTCCCTAAATCATTGATGGTCTGAAATTTCTTCCCTTTCAAAGGTGATTTCAGTTTTGGGAAAAACCAAAAGTCTCAGGGCACCAAATCTGGGCTGTAGTGGGGCTGAGTCACCTGGGTAATTTGATATTTTGCTAAAAACCTCTGCATGAGACATGATACATGAGTGGGCATGCTGTCGTGATGAAGCTGCCAACCACCAGTTGCCTATAGCTGCAGACTTCTGAATCATCCAAATAGTTTTCTGTGGAGGAATGTTCAAGCGTAACAAAATTTGATGCAGATTTGTTGCTCTACTACCCAGTCATTTTGAATATGATGGCCACACAGTACACATGCTCACTCAACAGCATCTACTGCCCCCACTGACTAGTACAGTGAAATTATCATTATTCACGCATGTGCATTCCAGTCTACTCTCCTTGGTTGACAGATTCCATAGATGTTGGCAAACTACCCTCATATATTAACAGTGGCTGGACTTTTTCCAGACAGACCTTGTATATATGATTTATCCCATTATAAAATATGATATACTTTCTCATGTATGGATATATAGTCATTTCCAGTTCCCCATCTTATAAACAACATTACTATAAAACTTTGTCCATTTGTTATTTATCTGGTTAGTTCATTAGAATAGATTCCTAGAAATGAAATTTCTGTATCAAAGCCTATATGCCTGTTTAAAACTTTGATCCACTTTAATCCACTCTTCCACTTACTGTTTTTTAGAAGGCATGCTAACAGGGTCAAGCTACCAAGAGCTGTTGGAACATCACCTAGGAGGTGAAGCCCCCTAAGGAAGTCCTGCACAGAGGGACATTCCCGAGACGGATTCACAATGGCAATGCTTTAAAAAAAAAGTGTATAAATGAAAGTAATTTTTGTTTGTATATTTCTTTGCCATTTTTGAGTACATAGTTAAGAAGTTATTAGATCTTTTTTAATCCATCCTTCTAAATATTATTGATTGGTTGTTTATGCAAAGCACTGTGATAGGCACAGGGTCACAGTAGTGATTCAAAAATGTATATATTAACCCTGGCTGGTGTGGCTCAGTACATTGTGTGCCAGCCTGTGAACCAAAGGGTCACTGGTTTGATTCCCAGTCAGCACACATGCCTCGGTTGCGGGCCAGGTGCCCAGTAGGGGGAGGGCAAGAGGCAACCACACACTGATGTTTCTCTCCCTCTTTCCCTCCTTCCTTTCCCCTCTCTAAAAATAAATAAAATCTTTAAAAAGATGTATATATTATTAGTTAGTTTTATCAAAAACTCAAGGATTTCACAGTATAAAGAGACAGAGACATGCAAATATAATGAACAATGCTCATTTAATCAGTTAACAAATATTTATCGAAGATCTACTATGTGTCAGGCACTGTTTTGAGCCCTGAGAATATAGTCATAAACAAAAGCAACAAAAGTCTCTGCCCTGTGGAACTTATACTCTAGTGAGGAAGAGAGATAGGAAACAATATACATGGTAAATAAGAAAAAAATAGTGGTAAGCAGGGCCACCTCTAAAAGGACATGGGCGCTTAGGGCAATTCAATCAATTGAGCCCCCTACCCAAAAGACTCACACTTGAAAGGAGGCTGCACTGCCCTCAGCTTTCATAGTGGGCTTGGAATATCATTAAAGAAAAAAATCTGAGTTTTAGTGGTACTGAGAAAAAAAAATAACAGTACAAGAACCTCTGAAGCACCGAACATAGTGTGGCCAGTCAGTTGCCTGATCCGACAGGCAAGGTTGAAGGGGTTGGGGTGGGGTGCTGGCAGAAATACTAAGGACACTATAATTTTACCTATCAAAGCCAGGGAAGGCCTCACTGAAGAGATTTTGAGTAAGATCTGAAGTATATCAGGAAACCAGCTGTACAAAGCCTAAGGAAAAGTGCCCTCCAGGCAGGGGAAACTGCAAACTCAAAGGTTTAAATCACATAGCACACACAGCACCTTGGCAGTCAGGAGTTTGTGCGCAGAGGGAGAAATGGCTAAATGCGGGGGAGAGAGGAAGCCAATGGGGGACAAATGAGACTTAAAAACGATGATCGGGTTCTTTGTGGAAAACAAAATAAAGGAGAAAGCCACATATGATTATATCTATTGCTTGAAATGTGCAAGGTTAAAATGAGTTTTTAAGGCCTAGGGAAATAAACGTTAAAGGATGCTATTTTTTAAAAATAATTTTTAAAAAGATTTTATTTATTTATTTATTTATTTATTTAAAGGAGAAGGGAGTGAGAAAGAAAGGGAGAGAAACATCGATGTGCAAGAGAAACATCAATCAGTTGTCTCTTGCACACCACCAACCAGGGACCTGGTCCGCAACCCAGGCATGTGCCCTGACTGGGAATTAAATTGGTTCCCTTTGGTTCTCAGGTGGGTGCTCAACCCACTGAGCCACAGCAGCTAGTGCAAAGGATGTTATTTTCAAAGCACAAAGTGGTATTGTAAGGAGTACATGGACTTGTTCTGGGCATCCACAGAAACAGAGAAAAAACATTTAGAAATAATTTATTAGGCCTTTGCCAAAGAGATCAATCAGATAATCTCTGAAGATCCCTTCCAGCAATCTCTAAAGCTTAACACAGTGTTTTTCACAAAAAGAATCACTGACATTTCAGTTTAGGAAGCTGGCAAAAAGAAAATCCTCAGCATTTCAATGTATTGAACATGAACACAATTGCTCTAAGTCACCTGCCTTCTCAAAAACCATAAATGGCTCCAGTGTTACAGAAAAATATATGAAAGCAATAAAGGCTTTCTGTGGTCTTGTTGAAATGCATGTTTTAGTTTATTCTTTTCTCCTGTCCAATTTATATATTCATCATTCCCAAATGTATGTTATGAAAAAGTACCCACCTTCACATCTGCTCCACCAACACTACTCTTGGAATGCCTTTCCTACCCTCCTCCATTTATCTAAAAGTTACCTTACCAAGAGTAAATTTGTGTAACAAATGTTGGTAAGCAATTTATCAGGAAGTTTCAAGAGCCTTAAAATTGTTCCTAACTTTGACTGAGTCATCTTTTTCTGGAAATTTCTTCTATGGAAATCATCTGAGAGGCAGGCAAAAATTTATGCACAAAGGTGTCCTTAGTAGCATTATATTTATTTTTCTATTATGAAGAATTTCAAGCATACATTAGAGGGACTAGTACAACAAAGCCCCGTATATCCATCACCAATATTCAATAATCTGTTGCCATATTTGCTTCAACTAACACTTTTTCCTCTAACAAAATATCTACTTAAGTATTTTATGTCATTTCAATCCTACATACATAATATGTACATCTCTAAAAAAATATGGGCATTTTCTTACAAAAGCTTAATGTTAGCATCACACCTAAAATGAACAATAACAGTCCATAAGCAGATTTTCCAATTCTTAAAAATGTCTCTTTTCAGTTAGTTTGCCCAAATCAGCATCCAAATAAGAAATACACATGACCGGTGGTTATTGGGGCTTTTACATCTCTTTGGATCTAGAGCGGACACCCTTCCTTAATTAATTCACTTTTTTCACAACACTGACTTGAAGATCCAGAAAAGAGCTGATGTTGCAGTAAAAGTCCGAAGGCCGTCTGGTGGCAGAATTCCTTCTTGCCCAAGAGATATCTGTCTTTTGTTCTCTTCAGGTCTTCAACTGATTGGATGAGGCCCACCCACATTCTAGAAGGCAATCTGCTTTACTTAAAGTCCTCCATTTAAGTGTTAATCTCATCCAAAAAACACCCACACAGAAACATCCAGAATAATGTTTGAGCAAATATCTGGGCACTGTGGTCCAGTCAATTGACACAGAAAAATAACTGTCTCAAATATACTTCAGTAAGATTGTGTTGTGGGTTAAATTGTCTTTTCAAAGAGATTTGTTCAAGTCCTATCCCCCAGTCCTATGAATGTGACCTTACTTAGGAATAGGGTGATTACAGATGGAATTTTTGAAGACGTGGTCACAGACTGCACAGACAACATGTTCTCACGTTCTCATGTCATTTCTCTCCTGTATGTTTATCAACTCGTGATAAAGGTAGGTTCATTTCTATTTGTTTTTGGTGTTTTAAAATAGCTTTTTAATTTTAATTTTTGGCTTTATTAATTATTTATGTTTACAAAGTCAACCTACATAATAAAGTATAACTCTGTCCTCCTCAATCTGTCCCATCCTGTTCCTTACCACCCAAAATACTTTTAAAAAATCAAATATCAATGATTGTCCTGGAAAGAAAGAAAACCTCTTCTCTGAGATTTTCAAATCAGGACAAAATAAAATTAGAAGAAAAAATAAAATGTTTTGTTCAATAGGGCCCAGCTAAAGTTCCATGACCTCAATGAAACCTTCCCATAAGTACTTTCTCTTTTCTGAACTTATGCATTGTTTACTGTCTATGCACTACTCACTTAGCCCTTTGCATCAATCAATAAATAGATTTAAAAATTAATGCACTGAGATCTGAAGGGTACCATGTTAGAAGCTGTGGGGATACAATGTATTATTACTTAAGTTTTCATGTACAGTCACTTCCTTGATTAAGCTATATGTTGAACCAAGAGCTTTCCTATATCCTCCATGGTGGCCATCACTGCTGATCATGATACCAAATTCCTTTGCACAAAATGTTAAAGAGAAAATAAGTAAAAACTGAAACAGATTGGTACAAATCCCTTTAATAAAGTATATCAATGACAACTTTAATTTTAAATAAATATACTGTTAAACATCACACAAAATCATTTTGTTACAATAATTAAGAAAGATTTTTAGACTGCCATTCCCTCTGCAGAAATGCTATACACAGCTGCAAAATGATCAAAGGCTGATGTAATAATGAATCTCAAGTAAGTCGCGTGGCCATCATGTGCCTGTATGGGAAAAATCACTATGAATGCTCTTAGCAATTCTAGTTAACTGTTAAGCAGTTAGCAGAAGAAAGGTTTGATGCAAGAGTAATATTCTAAATATGTAACAATACGTGATAATATTCAGAAGAGAAGCTAGTCACATATAACAATACCATTGTTCTAGTACAGCTCAAGTGTGTATCAGCCAAATATCAGCCTTGGTTTGATGTAAAATAGCAGATGGAGCTAAAAATTACAACTGTATATTTCTGATCAATGTTTTTTCAAAGTGTCTTTTAAAGTATTTTTCATGATAAAAGATTTCCTTTGGTTAACAATGCCTCAGAATACATTACCGTGGAACATTCTATACTTCTACATTTATATAATTTCTCTGGAAAGAAATTTGGCAATATATTTTTAAAAAGCTATAAATATATCCTTCAACACAGTAATTTCATTCCTTGAAATTTAATCTTAGAAAATAATTGAAAAGGTGAAGGTTGTGGTAGTGGGAACATACATAAGATGTCCCTTGTAGTATTATTTATAATGACAGAAGGATGAAAAGGAAATTAGTTAGCATTTGCCTATTTGCATACATTAGATTTTTTACAATTTTTTTAACATCTGCTACTTCATTTATTTTATTTGCAGGAGGAGGTGAAACAAATCTTTAAATGTATTTTCACCTTTTTCCCCCCTTCAACATGAATCATTCAAGTAAAACCAACTTAACTATAGAAATGTAGCAAAGTAAAGGGAAAGTAGCACAACAACCCAAGAGGCAAAGGTTGCGGGGGGAAGGAATGGGTGCAGTCCACATATACTATATGGGTAAGCACCATCTTAAGGCACCTGCTCAGGACTGCCTCCCCAGAAGGGAAGCACAAGGACCCATTTTAAGAGGATGTTTCAACTGAAAGCTTAAGATTAAAAAGAAGGAAAAGAAAAACAACAAAAACCAAAAAACAAAGAAAACCCCACACACCACCCAGCCAGAACCACCTTCCTTAATCAATTATAGGAATTTCTTTTCATTTTTTAAAAATATTACCATGATAAAAAATATTGAAAAATTATTTTCTCATATTTGTAAAAATAATAGAATTCAGAGTTTCTTAGAAAGCAGACCAGAAATCTCCATAATATTAAGTTTAAAAATGATACAAAATTATTCACACATTACTATTATAACTACATGTGATGCATATGGTTGACTAGAATAAAGTAGGTATAGTAAAAGCTGTTGTGACAGGATGATAAAAATGATTTTCAGCCTCTCCATCCCCTATATTATTTTCCAAATGTTCTATAATGATGTGAGTCTCCCTAATCCATAGTGAGTCCTGAAACTATTCAACAAAGACTACTAATTATAACCCATTGGTAATGATGGATAAAAACAGTAAGATAAATTCAATTTAATCATTTTTCAACACCTCCAACTCCACTTCCCAGTCATTGGGCACATTTGGGTGGTAGAGAAAATTACCAGGGTTCAAAAACTTCTATACAGACTCTTTTAAAATGTTGATTTCATAGCAGATCACAACAAGATGCGAAAAAGGAAATTTAATGGACAAGGTACCACTTTAACCCCCATTTCAAGAAACCTTAATTAAACAAACAATGCAACCAAAAATCCCCAACTTACATTCATTTGTTTCAAGTTTTTGTGTTTGTCTAAAACCAGAGACAACAAACGAGCAGGAACAGAGAAACTCCTGATGAGGCAGCAGCCTCCTCATCAACGGGCATTCATTCTACTTGACAAGCAAAGCCCAATGGAATGCTGTCAAAAAATGTCTATTCTCTTTCCACCTCATCTCTCTTTAGTTTGTTTGTTGCTGATCCTATGCTCTAGTTCCTCTCATCTGAATCTTCTTTGTCCTTTCATAATTAAATTAAAATCCAATTCTGGCATCTCAACCTTTTCCTGATTCCTATTCTAAAAGGCCTACAAAATCAAATGAAAGAAAGCAAGTAAGTAATTCCAAATAAATAAAGGAACAAAATTACAACAAAAAAAAGTGAATTTTGTTTTATCTTTGCTGTCACTCTGCCTGTGATAGATAAAAGCCTAATTTATGAATGCTACATTTAGATTATATTATTGAGAAAAACTTCTATTGATTAAGTACAGAAACTATAATATCATGAGAGTATTTATTAACTTTATGACTATAGAGACATTTAAAATTTAAATATATTACACTGGCTAAAGATAATGTTTATCTCTCCAAAGTATATTTACTTACCATAATTTCTTCATTTTGAAGCTGCCCCTCTGTGTGTACTAGATCTAAAACATAAATTTAACAGAAATGAGTTAGGGCTCAAAATACATGAGAATCTGCTACTGAAATTTATGTTCAGCAAAACATGGTACCTGGTAAACTATAGTTAAATCAGATTTACCAGTGTTCTGGGGTTAAAATTTAATATACAAATAGAGATATTGGATATAAAAAGTATGAAAGATAAACTATTTATGAGCTATAAAATATCTCTAGTGACTATAAACATAAGAACATCAAAATGTAAATTATAGTAAAGGAATATAAAGTGAGGGATTGAAAATCCCTTTCAAGGATCAAGCTACTAACTGCAATTGCAGGCCGGAAAGGAGACATTTTATTGTTCCCACAGGCAACAACTAGAGCTCAGTTTCTCACAATAAATTTTTACTGTGATGCAGAATTATGCTATCCATGAATTTATCTTTTAAAGTATCCAGCTTTAGAAAACCTTTACTCATATAATTTTAGGGCAGTTCAATTTATTTGGTCATGAGTTAATCAAATCAAACATTCTTTTGGAAACACAAAATATTTAATTGATGTAATAAAAATATTGGCATTGTTTAGAAATTAATTTCATTTGTATTAAAATAGTGCACATAATTTCAAAAGGCACATCGTATAAAAAGGGAAGTCTCTGGGAAGTAAGATTATGTTTGACTTTCTTTCTGTTTCCTAACCTTTCCCTGAGGTCATGAAAAATAGTAATCCTCTGCCTGACCTCTCCTTTGTCCTCCAGTCCTGCTCCCTACAGGTACATAAACACTTTCAATTCTTTAAGCTTTTTTCCCTGGAATTATACAATGTTTATATTCCTTCTCTTGATTTAACAATTTTTTTTACTGACTTTATATTATGGTTGGTGAAAATTTACATCTCTTAAACTAATATCCCCTTCCTCCTCCTCTAGCAACTTTTCCCTCCTGCCATCCTCTCAATTTTGAAATCAATACTTGATGACTACATTATTGTTTATATACATGCTATTTGCCGCTGAAATAAGTAACAAATTATGATCACATTTTCTTACTCAACTCTTTCCCCACCAGAAGTTAATAATAAACTCTCATTCCATTTTACTTTTTTAAATTATGAAACAGTGGGAAATTTCAAACGTAAAAGAAGACAGAACACAACTTCTTTATATAACTCGTCAACTAGATTTTATAATTACTAGTATTTCACCATACTGATTTCTCTTTTTGCTGAAGTGTTTTAAAGCAAGTCTAAGACATATTTCACTTCCAAATATTTGATTCTCCATCTCTAAATTATAAGGATATTTTCTTACATAACCACAATACCATTATCATACTAATGTTTTAAGCCCTGGCTTGTGTGACTCAGTTGGTTGGAGCATTGTCCTGGAATCAAAGGATTGCAAGTTCGATTCCCGGTCAGGGCACATGCCTAGGTTGTGAGTTTCTCCCAGTCTGAGCGCATGTCCCTGGGCTGGGTGCATAAGATCCCCAGTCTGGGCCTGTACAGGCAGAAACCAATCAATGCTTCTCTCTCACATCAGTGTTTTTCTTTCTCCCTTGCCCTCTCTCTTCTTTCTCTCTCTCTCTCTCTCTAAAAGCAATGAAAATATGTTGTTTGGTAAGGATTAAAAAAAAATGCTTTAATATCACACAGTACCCAGTCTATATTCAAATTTTCCCATTATCCCCAAAATGTCTATTTATAGTTGATTTACTCAAATCAGCATTGTCTCTTTTAAATTTGAACTGCTTTCTCTCCCATATGTACATGTTTTCTCCAAGCCATTGTTTACTGAACAGACCAGGACAGTTGTCCTGTACAATGTCCCACATTTTGTCAACTTGCCTCTGTGGTCTGGATTTTGGCAGTAGGAGAAGATATCTAAGGTCAAACCACTTTGTATATAGATGCTGAACTAATGACCCTTTTTGTCTGGTTTATGTATCACTCACACTTTGCTACCATTTGCCTTCAAGTTTTAGACCTATCTGGGGTTCTATTGAGCAAATTGGCTTGCTTCTCATTAACTTTCTCCTTGGCAGGCAATTAGGTTACAACCTACTCCATTCAGCTAAAGAAGTTACTTCTCCATCTGCTTATATATTGATCTTCCATAACTTACATATTGATCTCTCACATCTGCTTTGGTCTCCTGCTTTTTTGTTTATTTTTTTGTCTTTTTAGTTTATGCCTCTTTTTATTCCTTTACTATTATTTTCATGGTATTTTGGGAAGGAAATGAGATAAACACATGAAGGCAATATGTGTTTAACTAGAGACTACAAATTCTGCTGTAAAGAAAGATGAAAACTAATATTCATTGTTTGTCTACACGTCACACATTTTGTTCACAAAAACTATAAATGGTAGATATCATCTCCATTTTTCAGGTAAGGATTCAGAAACTCAGAAAAATAAGTAAAATGTTAACAGTTACACAACCAGTAAGTAAAGAAGTCTTGTATTCAAAATTGGGTTTTTCTAGGCTGTACATATTTCACAAGAATCATTCAGGTCATTTTTTTTTCTAGTAGAGAATAAAGTTTTCATTCACTCTCCAGGAGAGGAGAGGGGCATGGTGTGGAGAGATACACCAGCACTGAGGGGCTGGAGCTTTAGCTTCTATTGGATTATGACTGGATAGAACAGGGTGGGGGGGCGTTGCTGTTGTGTGGCCCCTGGGCAGTTGAGGCTCTTGTAACAGGAGGCTGCAGTTTGTTCCAGTGTTATTTACCTTTTGCCTGTGACTACAGGGAGCAGTTAGTTCTGTTCTTGCTCTCAGTAATTTCCAGTCCTGGGGACCAGCTCAGAAGAGTAAAATGGCAGTCATGTTTAAAAAGGTCATAGGCCTGGCTAGGCAAATGGTGCCACAATAACAAATGGGGCTGGCTCTGTCCTTTCATTTCCCCCTCTGGTTTTAAAATGGACTTATTCTTAATGATTTGTCCCGGTTCTGGTTTTGGGGAGTAGGGACAAAGGTCTCTTCTTCTGTAACTATTTCTAGTGGGCTAGGGATGTAGAGTTGTCCCTGTCTGTGGGTCTGGGTGTGGGTCATTAAGGAGAAGAGGGTAGGATTGGACAGCCCGAAAAACAAGAGCTATGGGTGGAGGCCGTTTAATTTCCCAAGTCTGGATGCTCCACTGAAGGATATAAGATATTTGAGGAGACATGGCCTTCTATCTCAGCATTGACAAAATGCATTTTGATGAAGGATTTATTCCACAGCTGACAGAATTTATTCCCCACACCAATTGCTGGTCATGAAAATGGGTAAGGAGGAGGCTGTCCACAGAGTCTGGAAAGACAAAGAAAGATTAGAATCTTCTCTCTGAACATCACAGAGACAGGGTTAGGGGGTTAGCCTGGGTTGAGCTTCTGCTGCCCACTGCTCCCCTAGTCGCAAGTCTCAGGAGGCCAGAGGAGAAGGAGAAATAGAGAATGTCCCCGTATGGGCCACTACGATGTTAGGATGGTCTGTGAAAGTATTCACAAAGAGAAGAAAGTGTGGAGAGTAAAGTTTTTATTTACTCTCCAAGAAAGGAGAGGGGCATGGTGTGGAGAGATATACCAGTCTCAGGTCATCATTTTTCACCTAAATGTGCACTGATCGGAAATTCAGAGTCAAAGGACAATTCTCTACTCCCTCACGCTCACAACAATGCTGGTGAAACAAGCACATACCTCTTTCAATCCACTGCTCAAAATCAACAGGCTCTTTAGATGTGCTCTTTTCAATCCGCAAAGTCCTCACTGACATTGTAAATAAACAAAATAAATAATGTATTAATTATCTAACTGATCCTATGTTGTTGTCCTTATATTTCTTTTCTCCTTCAAAACTCTTGGGCATTGGTGGGACTGCACAAAGTGGGATCAAGAATACCAAGTTCTAAAAATCACGCACTTAACTCTGTTTTTCCCTAAGTCCCTCTAGTGAAATACAGTCTTGTGCCACTGTAATCTTACAAATGTTTGCAAACATACAACACAGAGCTAGGGGAGCCTTTTTGAATTTGGTATCATACAGATGTTTTTGTATACTGGTAATAATGATAACAGTATTAGTGGTCTTGGTCATAAATTTTTATCTTTAGGGAGAACATACTATGAGCCATGCACACTTAACTCATTCACTCTTGACTACAACCTATGAGAAAAGTATTATTAACCTACTTTACTAATGAGAAAACAGACTTAGAGTAATCAGGCAACTTAGGGAAGTCAGGCAAAGTGTTCAATGATAAAGAGTAAGCATCAGAACTGAAATTCAAACTTTAGGTCTGTCTGACTCCAGAGCCTCCGTAATTAATGGCAATACGAATGCAGTCATCTTCCTTCTGCACTGTTTTTTCCTCCATTACCCCTAACCTAGCTCCAGCTACCCCAGATCCATTCTTTCCTTTCTCTGTTCTGTGCCCTGCGGGGATGAGCCCTGTGGACTCACTTGCCTACTGGCTGCTGGTCATACTTGGCCAATGGGAGGCACTGGGAGGAAACCGGAGGGCAGAGGGGAAGTGAGATCAAGTTGTTTTTTCTCCACTCCCTTCCTGCTTCAACGCCATGTCTTTGACAGCGGTTGTGTCCCTTCATGACTACAGCTCCTGCCAGGCTCCATCTTTCACTGGGCTCCCATAACTCTATTTCCTTCTCTTGGCCCCGGGGGTGGTAATGGCTTTCTGCTCTAGCCAGTTTCTGGGTGTCTCACCATTCCTGGTTTATTCTCTTAAGCCAGAACATAATTTTGTAAGTAGTCCCATCAATAAACTCACTTCATTTGAACCATCTGGAATGTATTTTGTTTCCTGCCACGATTCTGTCTGATATACTTTATCCTTACATAAACATAAGACAGGATTAGAATGATATTCCAATGGGAGATTTTCCCCCTAAATCCCTCAGAAAATATCATTATTAATAGAAGAATCAAAATTATCCAATGCAAATAATCAGGGTTATCAGATTTTCAGAAAGAACTTGACAGAGAACCCCAAGCCAAATGAATCTGTAATAAATATATCAAGGAACTTAGCATTCTGGCAAGCTGGCTTCTTATGTTCATAATAGGGTCTTTTGCCAAAGACTTCCACATAGTAAATTGCATGGAAATTATTATGTGCTTTGGAAGGGTTTCAGATTTGCAGTTTCATGGAGTCTAACTGTGCTCAAGGCAGTTAACCCATACTCCTCATTCTCCCACCCCAATAATAAGGCTGGATTCCATGCTGCAAAGAAAAATTAATGTTTTGCCAAAGTGCCCTCTGCTTATGAAAAAATTTTAAAATGATGAAAATTAATGTATGATTTGCTTACCAAAGTAACTTTGTATTACAAGCCTTTCAATTCTTACATGTTTGTGAAAACAAATAATGAACTCTTGGGGAAACATTCCTGTAGTGGTCCAAAATGTTTCTGGATTCCTATTGTTAATTTGTAAAAAAGAGAAAAAAAAATAGCCAGATAAAAATTAAACATTCACAACATTCTAGTGAATAAGTACTTTAAAAAGTAAACAAACCCTGGATTCTTACAATCCTTTTCTAACCATTCATTCTACCTCTAATCTTTCCCCAACTTTAACAATTCTTCTTTACTATGACCATATATATTTTCTAAAAACAGAATTTATGTCACTCTTATCTAAACACTTTAGTGGCCTCATATTGTCAATAAATCTAAATGTGTTTGTATGGCATTTTATGACTCTGTGAGTAATAACCTGTTCCCATCATTAAAGTACTATATCCTTGCCCATCACACTATCAGCTTCCATTACTGTGGTCGCAGTGGGCCCGTTAAAATTCTGCAAACACATCATGCAGGCTCAGGCTCCTGGGCCTTAATATGTATGTAATAAATCCCACAGTATAATGTGTTTTTTGCCATTAAGTGGTCAGTTGTCTTTCAAAAAACAAAATAAAAAAGGTTGTTTTTTATATTATCCAAATATTTACCATTTCCAATGAGTTTAATTTCTTCCTGTAGGTTTGAATTTCCCTCTAGTATTTTACACTTCACCCTGCAGAACTTCCTTTGGCACTTCTTGTGATGCCGGTCTACTTGTGATGAATAAAATGTCTTTACTCTATCCTCATTTTTGAAGGATATTTTAGCTACATACAGAATTCTGGATTGGCAGGCTTTTTTATGTGTGGGGGGGAAGTCTCTCTTTCTCAGCATTAAAAAATATTGTTCCATTGTTATGTGGATCTCACTGTTTATGATACAAAGTCAGCTATAACTGGTATGATTGTTCCCCTGTATTTAATGTATTTTTTTTTCTCTCCAGCTACTTAAAATTTTTTCTTTATATTTTTAGCAGATTATGATATGGTCTCTTTGTATTTATCCTACTTAGAGTTTGCTGAATTTCCTGGATCTATAAGTTAGCATTTTAAAATAAGATTGCGGAAGTCTAGCCAAAAAGTAGAAACAACCCAGATAGCCATCAGCTGATAAATGAATAACAAAATGTGCTATATATATACAATCAAGTATTATTTGGCAATAAAAAGGAATGAAGCACTGATATGTACTGTAACATGGATAAATCTTGAAAACATGAAACTGAAAGAAGCCAGCCACAAAACACCACATACATATAATCCCATTTATATGAAATGTCTGAATAGGCAAATCAATAGAGACAGAAAGTAGATTAATGGGTGTCTAGGGCTCGTGAGGATACAGGAAATACAGGGTGACTACGACAGGTTGCAAGGTTTCCTTGCAGGGTGATAAAACAGTATAAATTTTATTGTGCAGATGGCTACATAGCTCTGTGAATATACTGGAAGCCAGTGAATTGTACACTTTAAATTTTTGAATTGCATGGTATGTGAATAATATGTCAATAAAGATGTTATTAAAAAAAGAAGAAGAAGAAGAAGAAGAAAAAGAAACCAGGTTTTCTAACTCATAATTCTGGGTTCTTAATACTATGCTTAATATTTCACAATTTTTTAAAATTTACATTTATATGGTTTTAAATATTATTAAGTAAATTAAATGACTTTTAATTGTCCTGTTTTTTCTTTAAATGAACAAAGCCAATATAATAAAATTAAATAGTATCAATAGGCATGGATTTTAAAATGACATATAACTGAATCCTCAAATTTTTAAAATAAATTCTATTTACTTATGTATTTATTATTATTATTATTTTTTTTACCCTCACTCAAGGACATGCTCATTGATTTTTAGAGAGAGGAGAAGAGGGAGAAAAATATCAATTGGTTGTCTTTTGCACGCAACCTCAATGGGGACCCATCCTGCAACCTAGGCATGTGCCTTGACCAGGAATCAAACCCATGATCTTTCAGTTTATGGGACAACGCTCCAACCAACTGAGCCATGTTGGCCGGGCTGAATTCTCATATTTAATTAAGTCATCAAATAGTTTTCTTTTTATTTATTTATCTTAATCCTCATCCAAGGATATGTTTATTGCTTTTAGAGAGAGAGGAAAAGAGAGAGAGACGGACAGTCGGAAAGAGAGAGAGAAATGCCAATTGGCTGCCTTCTGTACATGCCTCCACTAGGGACTGAACCCTTAACCTAGATATGTGCCCTAACTGGGGGTCAAACCCACAACATTTTTTTTGGTATAGGGGCAACAATCCAACCAATTGAGCCACCCAGCCAAGGCAAAATAGTTTTAAATAAGGTTTATAGCTAATAACTGTTTAGTATCTGTTATTCATGAGACTTTTTTCACAGCTCTGAGGTAGTCAGAGAACTAAGGTAATCAGAGAAGGTGCAGACAAGGAAACTGAGACTCAAAAACTAACACATATACTCTTAGCCCAAGGTAACACATACAGTTCACTTACTCAGGAGTTTTAACTGCAAATCTCGTATTCTTCTATATCATCCAAAAAAGAACTAATTCTCTTCCTCTACTTTTTCTCTTAACTCATTTTTTTCTAGTGCAGAACTTTTCTTCTCTTTTTCATAGATACATTAAATGCCAGAGGAAAAAGTAGCCTTAAGGCAAGTAAAACTATAATCACCTTCTTAAACTCCTATTTCTGGGAAAGGGAGAGTTGGGACCACTGTCAAGTTGTGGCAAATTTATAGCACTGTTTTCTCCAAATAATTCTATGGTTACTTCCATTTAGATAAACCAACTTATGAGCAGCGAATAATTTTTCATATCTGCTATAAAAAGTCTCATTTTATTTGTTGAAAATGCATATAGATTAAAAGTCTCTGATGTGCTCAGTTCAGTTACAAGGTCAGTAACTACTTTTACTCCTTGTGGTTTTCTGTACTAAGGGTTTTGTCTAATATAAAACATATTATGTCCTTAGTCACTATTCATTAATATGAACTGATATGGAAAGATTTCTATTTCTGGCAAACAACTTATGGTAAATCTTTATATGTCTATTTATTCTTATAACAGTTCCCACATTAATTTCTCTATTCCAAGGCAGAGTGGAATAAATAACTATTACCTGAATCAGGAGGTAAAAAACTAAGAAGGATTAAGAGGTACAGGCCAAAAGCCTATATCAAGTTACTGAGGCAAATCTTAAGTTTGAGTAACAGTGTAGTATAGAGAACCCCAAACTAGGAGTTAGAAGACATGAATGTTAATCTTGATTCTGCTACTTGGTTATGCATATGATTTTGTGTAAGTCATTTTACTTCTGATCATGTTTTTCCTCATCTTTACAATGAGGTTGAAAATATTTTTTTATCTGGCCTCTCATTCCCCAAGCTTACAGTGTATGTCAATAACACAGGATCTATGAAATTATAAAGTCCTACACAAATGTAAAGTAACATATGCACATATATGTTTGCCTGTGTGTATATGTATATGTGTGTATAAATAATCAGCTACTTTTCAATATTGTTAAGTTTTACTAATATTTGATGATCTAATTCAATAAGCTACTTAACACATATTTTAAGACATTGTGGAGTTAAAAATGAACAAATCACAGTCTCTGCTTTCTACGAAATCATAGTTAAGAAATGAATGTTAAAGATAAATAATTATACAATAAAGGAATAAATAAGGTAATAGAGGTATCTACCAAATTCTACTGGATTCCAATATCAAAAAAAAACCCTCATCCTACCTGAAGGAGAGAGAGAAATGTCAGAGAGAATGTAACAAATAGGCTTAACAGAAAAGGTTGAGTTGCTCACATTTATCCACGTACATGGGCTCCACAACAGAACCCAAAGAACCACAAGATATGTATTACAATTGCCTCTGCCTTCAGTGTTTAAAACTAGTATTTGACCTCTTTGGACTTACCTTACCATGAGTCTAAAATGACAGGTTTAGATAAGATGAACTCATAAGTCTTTCCAGCTCTGGAATCACTGATTCTATCAGTCAAACTCTGGTCATTGTACAAATACCAAGAAAGAAAACTCAAGAGAGTGATAAAAGACTCATAAGTCTTTCCAGCTCTGGAATCACTGATTCTATCAGTCAAACTCTGGTCATTGCACAAATACCAAGAAAGAAAACTCAAGAGAGTGATAAAATAGCCAGAGTTGTCCCATTAACTACATTTTCTTGGAATTTAAAAGTCTGAGAACGATACTCATCTACCTAGAATAAGCTCTAGAATGGTGAAGAGTGGAAATTAGAATAATATGAAGAGGCCAAGAACCAAAGAATGCAGGTGGATAGCAGATAGTGAAGCATTCAGTTTAGCAAAGATGTTGCTTAGACTAATAAGGAAACAGGCAGTGGAGGGAAGTTACAATGTTTATATTCCTATTTAATAAGAAAAACTTGAAAGTAAACCATAATTACATATTAAAATGTATACTTCTGTAAAATGAGGTTGTTGCTGTTTCAAGTTTTATCCTGTTAAACTACTTCTTAAAACACTATTTGTAAAGGTCAGTTTAGGAATTATCAAGAAAAGGATCAAAACTGAAATATATGCAACTGAATTAGTTTCAGAAATGGGACCAAAGGTGGATATTGTCAGGTAATCTACTTCACCAAACAGTTGATTTATTTATTTTTATTTTTAACCAAATGTTTATTAAACTATATTTAACAGAGTTAGTTGTTATAAAAACACATAGTCCCAGTATTCAAGGGGTTCATTTACCTAATATGAAGACTTTAAGGAAGAAAGAATAGTAACTCTTACCCATCAATCATATTTTCAGGAGGGTGTTTTTCATCACTTGATGTAGCTAAAATTACTTCAGCCCCTTCAGAGCTCAAACAGAGATCAACTTTTCTCATCTTAAGCTGTTTAACCTGCAAATAAATCAATAACAAAATAACAACAAAAGCCACTTCTTGATTCTCTGCACTTTATGTGAGAAAAGGAAGAGAGAGAAAGCCTGTTGCCTAGCACACAGCTTAACAACCAAGCTATTCAACAAGCAGGAGGGACTCAATATATGTTTATTTACATAGGTAAACTTCAGACTTCTCCCATGAATAGTATGTAAGATATGAGTATTTCTACTACATTACTCCGTGAAACAAGTCCCTGACTACTCTGACATAATTTTTCTGCTTATAAAATTAAAAAATCCTCAATAATTACCTAGAAACAGTTAACAAACTAAGGAGATATAATAAGTGGGTTAATTTTTAAAAATTACTTAAATTGTTATATTTCTGAAATTATTAAAAAATAGCTGGAGCATAAAAACAGAATCTTTGTAATTATCTACATATTTATCAACTGAAGTAGCAAACAATATTGTTTACATCTTAAAAGACGTAAGAGAGAAGACATGCTTTTACTTATTTTCAAATTCTAAACCACTCACTTGGGTCATGGACTTAAAGACATATATGTTGTATGGTAATATTTTAAGTTTATTAGAAGCATTCTGAAAAGATATTATTAAGCTCTACTATGAACCCTGGTGGGCAAGACAGAAGGAAGACAGAGAAGATTCTGTCAGATCTCACTCACCCTCCTCCTTGTTCTGATGGTTATAGGGCAAAAACTTATATAGGAAGATGCAAGGTGGCTGGAAAAGCTGTATCTACAAAGAATTAAAAGAGTGTTTAGAAAAGTGAGGAAGGCTTCCAATACCCTTTACACCCTGACCCCAATCTAACATTTAAAAAATTGAAACTATTTCAAATAAACAAATAACAAAACACATTATATATCAATATATTAAACAACTATGTACCACTGCCCTGATTTAATGTATTTTTGCCACATTTACTAAAAAAATTATTTTTAAAAATATATAATCTTTATTACATACATTTATATTTTTTCTATTACCATTTAGAAAAATATGAGAAATATGAGGGGGTAACCAAAAAAGCCTCGAATTATCTTTTGGAGGGCAGGTCCCTTGTATTACAGGCTTCCCCTGCTAGGTGAGTGTTCTAGGAACCCATCTGTGTCAGTGTACCAGCTGGTGTTGTGAGAGGCTGTGTCCAAACATAGGCTTCAGTGAATTTTTTTTGAAGATTCTTTCATCGCATTTGCAAAATTCATGATGGATGATTTATGAGTGCACCTGCCCACACGGTGCTGAGCGTTCTGCAGTTTTTGATCAAAAATGGCATGACCGCTGTGCCCCAACCTCCCTCCCTATTCACTGGATCTCCCCTGTCCCCAGAGACCTTTTTTTGTTTCCCTCAAGGAAGAAAGTCCTCAAAGGGAACATTTTTGCCCTGTGGAAGTCGAAACAAACAACGGTAGATGCACTAAAAGGCATCAAAACCGATGAGTTCAAAAACTGTTTTGAGCAGCGGAAAAAAAAATTGATACATGTATTGCATCAATACACATATTGAGGTTGAATACCGTATCATATATTTATGGGCCGTTCAGGCCCCTTTCCTCTGTTTTGTTTTTCTTACCCTGGCTCATTTTTCTACTGGGTTGCTTTAAAAAAATTTTTTTTTTGCCCATTTCTTTTTGATCTATAGGTATTTCTAAAATGAAATATTCTGGGAGGAAATCCTTTGTTATATATTATAAATATCTTCTACTCTGTGATATGATTTTTCTTTGTAACTTTATTTTTTGTGTTGAGTTCCTCCACACATACTTTCTTTTTTGTTACTGAACTATAACATACACATAGAAAAACACACAAATCATTAAGTATATAGCACAATAAATTTTCAAAATGTAAACACATCCAAGTAACCCCCACCCAGATAAAGAAATAGAACATTATCAGCATTTGAGAAGCCCTCTTTATGCCCCCTCTCAATTACTACCCCTACTTAATAAGTGTGGTCCTTATTTCTAACACTACAGATTAACTTTGCCTGAACTTTATATTAATGGAATCATACAGTTTATACTCATTTATATTTGGCTTCTTTACTCATTACATTTTTGAGATTTATCCATGTGGTTGTGTGTAGCAGAGCTGAAATATAACTAAGTAAAGTGCAACTTAACCTCAACCCAGCTTAACTCCCAATAAGATTTTATTAAAAAATCAGTGCCTAATTAGAGCTTCTCAGGAAACTGATATGAACTGAAAAGAAAGGATTTCTCTGATTTTGGGTATTTACATCCCAAAACCCTAGGGGAGGGACCTGATCTCACTCTCAAGTATCTGAAATCAGAGGTAAACTAAAACTATTTATATAAAACTACAACTCAGACCAATCGCAGAACAATCCCTAGCTGAACTGAAGTTATTTGCCCCTTATCCTAACTCCTAGACAAAGAAAAATGGTGTACTCTCTTGGGGCAGGGGGTGGCGGGAAGCATTGTATACTTCCGCGTTATTTGTCTATTCATTTAAACTCAATGTACAACATGTAAAACCATTTGAAGTAGATCTATAGATGACCCAGGGGCTGGAATTAGCACAAAGATAAAGATAAGTAATAAATCTGTTAGAGAATTTAGTGAAAATATGGACAAATGGGTGAACAGAAAGGGAATTTTAACAGAGAGATAGAAACTCTAAAAAAAGAACAAAATAGGAATTCTAGAACTGAAAAGTACAATACCTGAAATAAAAATTTTATTAGATGGGCTTAATATCAGACTGGATCTAGCATAAGAAAGGGTTAGTGAATTTAAAGATGGTCAATTGAAATGATCTAAAATGAAACATATAAATAAGAACAGAACAGAGTATCGTAAACCTGAGAAACACTATTAAACTATTCTGAAATACAAGTAACTGGAGTCCCAGAAGGGGAGAAGATAGAGAATAGTGTAGAAGAAAATTTGAATAGATATGGCAGAAATTTTCCCAAAATCTGTGAAGGACCTAAGCCCACAGATCAAGAAGTTCATGAACCCTAAATTGGGTAAATACAAAGAATATTCCGCCTAGACAGGTCATAGTCAATTGCTGAAAATTAAAGAAAAGAAGAAAAAAAAGTAGTCAAAGCAAAGTACACATTACATATAGGTGAACACCAGGAATCAAAATTGACTTCTCATCAGAAACAACGGAAGCCAAAGTCAATGGAATGACATCTTTAAAGAGCTAAAAGATTAAAAAAATATATAGATTTCTAATCCAGCAAAAATATCCTTCAAAAGTGAAGACAAAATAAAGACAATTTCAGACAAACAGAAGCTGAAAGTATCTATTACCAGTAGATCCACACTACAAAAACTATTAAAGGACGTTCTACAGGCTGAAGTGAATTGATTGTAGGTTGAATCCTGGATCTGTGGAAAGGAATAAAGAGCACTGGAAATAGTGTATATATTGCTAACATAAAATATTTTTTTATCCTCACCCAAGGACATGCTTATTGATTTTAGAGAGGGGGAAGTAGAGGGAGACAGCAAGGGAGAGAAACCTTGATGTGAGAGGTAAACATCTGTCAGTTACATCTGGTACATGTCCCGACTGGAACCAAACCCACAACCCAGGCATGTGCTCTGACCAGGAATTGAATCCACGACCTTTCAGTTTATGGGAGGACACTCCAACCAACTGAGCCACATTGGCCAGGGCTAAAATAATATTTTTAAAAATTTTTTTATAAGAAACTACTTAAAGAACAAATAGCAATGAATAGTAAGAGTTGAATGAATGTGTATCTAATAAATGCAATAATAATTTGGAAGACAAGATGAGGGTAAATGAACCTACTTTCTGTACAGTACTTTCATAAAGTTTATACATTGAACATGAAGTGATATATTAATTCAAAGTAGACTAGAATGTAAAGGATGCATGTTATAATTCTAGGAGTAGAATAAAATAACCATTAACAACCATAAAACAGTTATAGGAAGAAGGCCAGCAGAGAAGAAAAAATGGAATGGCATAAAAATACTTGATTAATCTGGAAGAAGACCAAAAAGAAGTCACAAAATAAAGACATTTAGAAAGTAAATGGCATGCTGGCCTGCAAACCAAATAGTCTCTGGTTTGATTACCAGTCAGGGCACGTGCCTAGGTTGCATGCCAGGTCCTCAGTTGAAGGTGGGGGGGTTCATGAGAGGCAATCACGCATGGATGTTTCTCTCTCTCTCTTTCTCTCTCCCTTCCCCTCTCTCTGAAAATAAATAAAATCTTAAAAAGAAAAAGTAAATGGCAAGAAGATAGAGTTAAGCACAAATACATCAATTACTCCATTAAATGTTGATAAACTAAACACTACATCACCAAACTGACTTTAAAACAAAACCCAACTTAGATATTCTTTTCAAGAAACACACTCTAACTCTATGGATAAACTGAAAATAAAAGGATAGAGTAAGATATATCTTAATTATCTGGTAAAGTAAATTCCTCTACTTAATTTTAAAATTGATTTGATTCTATGCCTTGTACCTTGATTATTAGAAAGTTTTGTTAAATTACAGAAAAAAAATTGAAATATTGGTTGCAATTCAATTCCATTTATAGATTAATTTCGAGAGACTATCATGTTTGTGACAGTAAGACTTCAAATATATGATTGGGCAATATCCTCACTTTTTTAAGATTTATTTTAAGACCTTAAATTGTTTAAAAATTTTCCCCAAACATACCTTTACCTCTTTTGCTTGATCTACTCTTAGATGCCAACAGTTGCTATTGTGATTTTAAATGGAATCTTTAAAAAAACGCTTATTTTTAAAAATCTTATTTTTTACCACACAAGAAATATTTCTAGACATTAACAGTGGGGGTTGTTTGAAGCACCTAGGGTTCCATCGCTGGAGAGAGGGAGGTGTATGCTGAAATGGGAGCAGTAAACTGGATATCTACACAGATATATGAATACATTTTAAAACTGTTTGATATACACTGATATCACAAAACATGGTCCATCCACACGCTGGTATATTATTCAGCCATAAAGAGGAAATTCTGAGGATTCTCCAAGATGGTGGCTTAGGTAAACATCCCTTGCTTCCTCTCACAACCACATCAAAATTACAATTAGAGTGTAGAAAAACCATCACTCAGAACTGTCAGAAAGTGAGCTGAATGCAAGTCCCTAACTGTGGAATTAAAGAAGAAACCACACCCATCCAGACTGGTAGTAGGGGCAGATACGCGGAGATGCAGAACAGCCTGGTCCCACACTGTATGGTGGATAAAAACTGGGAGAGATATCGAGAGAGTGAAGGGTCCCAGCCCCACACAAGGTCCCCCAGCTGAGGGTTCCAGTGCCAGGAAGATAAGTCTCCATAATTTCTGGCTGTAAAACCAGTGGGAATTGAGTTGGTGGAAGAAACTACTGGATTCCCAAACACTTCCTCTTAACAGGCCTACACAAAGACTTACTCAGACTCACTCTATCTGAGCTCTAGCACTGGGGCAGCAGCTTGAAAGGCACCAGTGGCACATGGGGAAGAACTGAAGTGCCTGGCATCAGGGCAAGAGATGGGAGACAGCTTTCTCTCAGGCAGAACTGATGGCAGAGGCCATTGTTCCTTTTCTGAGTCCTCCCCAAAGAGCCACAGAGCAGCAGGCACCATATCTGAGACTCCACCAAACTGGCTCTTTGCCCTGCCTTGATGATTCCCTGAGGCTCTGCCCCACCCAACTTATAAGCCCACCCAAGCTGTTAACAGTGGCTTTCCATAGGAATGGCTTGTCTTGGCTCATGATTCAGATCTTCCTAAATCCCCTCAAGCAAACAGCAGCTGGCGTCAGTGAGCCCCCATACCTTGCTAAGTGGCCTGAGGCCTGGAATTAACAGCAGCTGGCCTTGGTCCACTGCCTGGCCATGCCTGGGCATCTTCAAGCCCAGCACAAGTAGCAGCTATCTGCAAACTGCCTTACAGCTTATGCCAAGTGGCCTCAGATAGAACACAGTCAGTGACTTACCTTGGCCTCTACCTCCCAGGAAACTGCAGAGCCTCTGCACCGAGTGGTCAGCTATAGACCATGTCAGAGTACCATCACCCAACCATCCCCACAAGTGACACACTCAAGGGATGGACTCAGCAGGCACCAGAGCCTTGCTGAAATAAGTCCTGTTCTATGGAGTGGACTCCGGCACAGCTGATCCTTCACAGAGAGTGGAGACCGGTAGTCAGTGGTCACAGCCAGTCTTTGCAGTTGACTGGCACGGACAAATCCTTCATATTGGCTGCCAACAGCAATCAAGGCTCAACAAAAAAAGGAGGGTACACTTAGCCCACATGGAGGGCGCACCTTGAGTACCAAGCTTGGGTGATACGGAAGTCTGTGCCACCAGACCCTACTAAATACCTACTACATTGGGCCACACTACCAAGACAGAGAGTCATGGCAGCTCTACCTAATACATAAAAACAAACACAGGGAAGCTGCCAAAATGAGGAGACAAACATGGCCCAAATGAAAGAAAAGATCAAAACTCCAGAAAAAGAACTAAACAAAATGGAGATAAGCAATCTCTCAGATGCAGAGTTGAAAACACTGGTTATAAGGATGCTCAAGGAACTCAGTGAGGACCTGAACAACATAAAAAAGATCTGGTCAGAAACAAAAGATACACTAATAGAAATAAAGAACGATTTATAGGGAAAAAACAGAAGAATGGATGAAGCTGAAAATTAAATCAATGATTTGAAACATTAGGAAGAAAAAACCAACCAATTAGGACATCAAGGAGGAAAAAAGAATCCAAAAAAACAAGGATAGTGTAAGGAGCCTCTGGGACAACTTCAAGCATACCAGCATTTGCATCATAGGGGTGAAGGAAAAAAGAATAAACAAGAAACTGGAAACTTACCTGAAAAAGTAATGAAAGAAGACTTCCTTAATTTGGTGAAGGAAATAAACATACAAGTCCAGGAAGCACAGAGTTCCAAACAAGATGAATGCAAAGAGGCCCACTCCAAGACACATCAAAATTAAAATGCTAAAGGTTAAAGACAAAGAGAGAATCTTAAAAGCTACAAGAGAAAAGCAGTTAGTTACCTAAAAGTATGTTCCCATAAGACTATTAGCTGATTTCTCAAAAGAAACTTTGCAGGCTACAAGGGATTGGCAAGAAATATTCAGTCATGAAAAGCAGGGACCTACATCCAAGGTCACTTTAGTCAGCAAAGGTATCATTTAGAATCAAAGGGCAGATAAAGAGCTTCCCAAAGAAGAAAAAGCTAAAGGAGTTCATCATCACCAAACCATTATTATACGAAATGTTAAAGAAACTTCTTTAAGAAAAAGATCAAAACTGTGAACAATATAATGGCAAAAAGTACAAATCTGTCAACAATTGAATCTAAAAACAAATTAAGCAAAGCAGAACAGAAACGGAAGCATACAAAAGTTATATATCTTAAAAAATATTTTATTTATTTATTTTCAGAGAGAGGGGAAAGGAGGGAGAAAAAAAGGGAGAGAAACATCAGTTGGCTGCCTCTCGTCTGCCCCAAACCAAGGACCTGGCCCACAACCCGGGCATGTGCTCTGATTGGGAATCAAACCAGTGGCTTTTTGGTTAACAGGCTGGCGTTCAATCCACTGAGCCACACCAATCAGGGCAGAGTTATATTTTTAGGGCAGTGATGTTCCACCTTTTTCATCTCATGGAACACATAAACTAGTAACTACAATTCTGCAGCACACCAAAAAATATATATTTTTGTTGATCTGACAAAAATAGGTATAATTTTGATTCATTTACACCAAATGGCTGTAAATGTAAATGTGTTGGCTATTGTTATTTTTTTATTTGACACTAAGGGAAAAGTGATCAGCGCCCCGACATACGTTTTAAAAATTCTTGCGGCACACTACTGTGCTTCTTGTGGCATCACTGTTTTAAAGGGGAGTATCTAGCATTGATGTGCAATATATAAATAAGGAAATGTACTACTCTTCAAGTATTTAGTTCTTTTCTTACCTCACATTCTTATCATCTAAGTTGTCTGAGAGAAGCAAGTATGTCCTTTAATAAAAAACTCATTTCATACCTCCTATATCCATCAATATCCTTCCTATTTCCTGTGTTCGGTAGAATAGTTTAAATAACGAGTAACAAATGGCCGAAGTAGGGTTCTCTTTAAGGTTCCTTTGTTGTGGTTAGTGAGAAAGAGGTAAACCTACCCCAAAGTAACTCATGGAACAACTCATGTGTTATGTTGTTTCTACAACTCCAAAATGCAGGTTTGGGGATGTAGTCTAATCTCACCCTTGGGTGACTTACTCTAAATACACATTCCAACAGGGCCTCAGGTTATCACAGGCTGTGCACTCTGTGGTAGTATCCTTTGCATTTTTAACGATCCCTGACATGGACTTCTCTGATGCCTTGTCCTATCCTCTAAATCCCGAGTCACTCCACTATCCATTCACCTCCAGTTCACATGCCCTTTCGTCCTTCTTTCCAAAAACCTCTCCGGGTTAGTTCTCAGTTCACTTGCTCCCTGATCAGCCCTTTGGTTATGGTACCCTTTCCCATAACATCCTCTGGGAATTCTGTAAATTAGAAAACAGCCATCCTCTGTTTCCCGTGCCACAATCTATGCTTGGTATCTCTTGAAAGACAAACCAGCCCTCACACCACCTCTCACCTCTATCCCAAACAAACCCTCCTCCTCAGTCCCAGGCCATTTCAAGATCTCCAAGGACCCTAAACAGTCAATCTTTTTTGGATGCCCCGCCTCAAATTATGGAAACTACCTTAAATAAATCCACATCCTACGTTAAATATAATGCATAACTATACGGGTTACGTTGCAGTTGCTAGGTTAGTCTGGTAAATTAATTTCGATTTGTGACCGTTTTCCCCTTTTGGGGGTGAAAACATTATTTCGGAACTCAAAAAAAGCTGTGGGCTGGCACTAGTTCCTCTAGGGCTAAGGGGAGAGAACGGACCTGCGTCAGACTTCCCCCATTCCATCCCCTCACTAGCCCCCCCTCAGCACCCTCCCGCTGCCCGCCTCCGCGCTGCGCGTCCCCTCATGCTCAATTCCCTCTCCTCCAGCATCCCTCCCCGTCGGCCTTGTCCAGCCAGGCTCCCACCTCCACAGGTGCCGACCTAGCTCGCCGCGCCGACCCACTCGCCTGGACCTCTGGTAGCTCCAAAAGCGTAGACAGTAGGACCTCCAGACCTCCCTCCTACCACGCCCTCAGCCCCTACTTCTACTCTTCCCGGCCTCCACCGAGTTCCCCGGAGCGCGTACTTCTTTACTCTGGAGTCTTCGCTCCACCCCGGCCCTCAGGCCCCGCCCACTCCGCGTGTTCCGTGCCCCCCCCGGCCCCGCCCCCTGCCTTCTCTCCACCGCCCCTACCCGCCCAGGCCTCCTCGGATCTCCTGGGTTCACGCGTATCTCAACTGTGGGCTCTTCTCTCCACCCCGCTCTCAGGCCCCACCCACAGGCCACGCCCCTAAACTCAGCTTTACTTCGCGGGCTCAACTGCGCAGTCCCGCCCAAAGGCCTTTACTACCCAGGCAGAAGCCCGAGTAGACGCTGCCTACCCTCTACCAGTTTAGCTCGATTCCCGGGGCCTGCTAGACCCTAGAGACCCGCCCCCGCTCCAGCACGCACGCGCACTCCTCACCTCTCCGAGCTCTGAGCCGGTGGCCCTCAGGTCGCCTGCCCAGGGCTCGGCCCCGCCTCCAGGTCCGACCCCGCCCCCCATGCCGGGTATCGCGCACGCGCGTCTCCCTTGCCCAGCCTACCCTCCCCCCGCCCCTGTCAGCCCCGCGGTCCCACGGCGCTAGGTCGCCCCCGTCCCTTCTCTCCTCCCATCCTTTCTCTGTCCCACCCTTCTTAGCTTTGTGCCTGGGACGCCTAGCCGCTTCCCCTCTCAGCCGCGCCTCTGGAGGAGGGATCCGCCACAGAGGAGCTGCAGCTCGCTGCCCCGGGCAGGGGCACAGGTAGGTGGCGGCCGCGGGCTTGGCCGCCGTACGGAGCCCTGGGCCGCGAGTGGGGGCGGGGGTGGGGTGTGAGTGAGGGGCGGAGAGGGGGAGGGGAAGACCCGGGGAGATGCGGTTGGGGTGTGGTTGGGTTAAAGGTGTGAAGAAGAGGATAAAGGAGTGTCGAAAATGGCTTTGAGCTTGAGGTAGTGGTGCTGGGGTTGGATATGGGGGCGTGTGAGAATTGGGGTTCGGGGCGGTGGGGGAGAAGGGGCCAGGATTTTTGGGTGGACTCAGAGAGTGGGAATTTAGAGAGATGGAGAATTGCAGTGCTTGGGAAGGGGCTTTGAGGAGTGCAAGGAGGAAAGGATATAGGATTGAAATAGGAGAAAGGGTGGGGTCTTGCGGGTAGGGAAGAAAGAAGTTGGGGCTGGGGATTGTGAAGTTGAGCATAGTGAAGCTTGAAGACAGGGGATTTTGAAGGTTGAAGACAGAAAACAAGGAGAGGGAGAGATTTGGGTCCTAGGAGAGGGAATCCCAGAGGGGGGAGGGGTGAATAAATGGTGATGGACAGAATAGATGTTGCCAGGGAATGAGAATGGGTCGGGGGGATGATGTGGGGAAGGCGGGAGACGCTGGTGGAGATGGGATTGGGTCTGAGAGACGGAGACAGATTTCAGAAGGGTCATGAAAGGGTTAGAAGGGCATAAGGTTTGAGGGGCAGGGGCAGAGGAGCTGAGAGTGGGTGAAGGAGGGAGGGGTTAGGATTTTTCCTGTGGAGATTGGATTTCGTGTGTGAAGCTCTAGAGTTAGCAGATAAAGAAACTAAGTCTCAAGATGTGGGGGAGATTGGTTATGTTCCTGGAGGAGAGTAGAGAGCTGGGTATGGTACCATCCTCTGGAGCTTGGGAGAGGAAAGGATATGGGTGAGAAGGCAGGTAGAAAAATGCAAGTTGTAGGATAAAAGAAAAAGAGGAGTTGGAAATTGAATAATGGTTCTGACACAGAACAATGAAGGTAAGATTAGTTAGTTGGTTATTCGTGGTTTGGAACTAGTTTCTGTTCAGGTTTTTATGTTGGAAATTTTCTCAAGAATTCTGCATTTTCAAATTAACCAAGGGTGTCTGCAGCCTTGGGATGAAGGCCATGAGTTGACAGATGTTTTCCTGGTTTTCCTGGTGTGTGGGTGTGGGTAATTTCTGCCCTGGCAGAAAGAAGGGAGGCCTCAATGTAGCTCTGTCCTGGCTCTGTTCCCACCAACCCTTCGCTCAAATGTCCACTGTTTTTTTGTTTTTGTTTTTTCCCTAATCTTCTCCCTGTGTCCCCATCCCCCAGCTTGAGCCAGTGAATACCAGAGGGATCAAACAGGTGGGTGACATTAATTTTTAACATCTTTTTTTATTCTTAAGGCTTATGTCATATTTTTATTCTTGAGAGACAGCATCATGCAGTGGAAAGAGCTTGAACTTTGGAGTAATACAGCCTTGAGATGGAATTCTGGCTCTGCCACTTACTAGCTCTGTTCCTTAAGTAAGTTACTTTATTTCTCTGAGGCTCTTCACCTGTTAAATGGCAATCCTGACCTCAAAGGATTGTGGGAGATAACATGAGGTCATTTAATATAGTACCAAGCACCGTGCTTGGCAACTGGTAGGTGCTTAATAAATGGCAGCTAGCATACCCGCTATCATTATCATCGCTATCTTTACTGATTTTTTTATTACGGGGATTGTTAACATTGCCTACTAAAGTTAGGTGTTTTCTTCTCTTTCTCTTTCCAAACTTACCTCACAATTTTAATCCTGTTTCCTCCTACTCTCCCACTCCCTATCCCAACTTGACTGGAATAGCCATGGTTCTTGCTCAGTAAACTGGCTTTAAGTTCTAAAAAGCCATTATGTTTAGTTATCAGTTGTTTTATTTTGCTTCTTATTCAAAGAGGCTATAGAAAACTGAGTTATTAAAGTAGTAAGGTTATATTTTATTGGCTTGATGAAATGACGTACTTCAGGGTACTGGTTCATTTATGGTGGCCAAATACTAGAACATGCAGTCATGATATTTTTCTGCAATGTTGTATCAGTTACAAAACTGCTTCTCTGTAGGGAGCTGAGAGACTGTTAGAATGCTCCTGTTACTCTGTTGATCTAATATAAAATATAGCTAATGACGATCTACACTGGACATTGTTTTCTTACAGATACTGATTATTTTAGTTTTCCAGTTTGCATGGGTTTTTTGCCATGGTATGTCTCCTGCGGGGGCCCATTTATAATAGACCATCCTGTACAATAGCCAGGCAGAAATAGAAGCCAAGTACAGAAGCTTTGTGTGAAATTTTCTTGCCTTTATGGTTCTTAGCCTTGAAAAGTTTAAATACTAAAGGTTATAATTCTTAGATCATTTTATAGGACCTCACAAATTCTCAGGAAGCTCCTTGTTGGGAGAATGCAAGATACCCAAATTCAATTGTAGAAATCAACGGTCACCAAGATACACTGAACCGAGAATAGAGAGGCCTTGAGGTTTCTGGACAGCTGATGTGGGTGTACTCTTTAGGAAATACTGGATTTATTTTAATTATTTAGAAAGGGAACTAACATCTGATGAGTAATTTAAAGGTAAAATATAGCCAAAACTGTGTCCTTTTTTGAAAATGATCCCTGGAAGCAGAAGCTGCCAGGATTTGGGGCAGCCTGGATTAACATCCTTACTCCTGTCCCGAGCTGCTGTGCCCTCTGCTGGATAGAATCAGACTTTTCTGATTTTTCACTCATAGTAGTGTTCGTTTTACTGCAAAGTTTGTGGAAGGCACTATTGGGGTCCGAGGATTAGGGGTAATACAGGTGGGCAGACCCTGTTTCTTTGCCAGGGGGCTTATAATGTGTTGATCCATTATAATGTGTTATTTTCCATCGAATTTGCCTTTCTATTAAAATCAAGTCATTCCTTTTTAGGATCATTCCTGTTGTTTACTTTCTGATCTGCAAGTAGAATAGGGCTTGAATGTTGAGTCACAGGGATAAAGACCAAAGGGTGTCTGCTCTATCTTCTCATCAAGATTAAAGTCTATGAGGTTGAAGGGCCAGATGCTTGCTTCTACTGGAAGAAGGGCTTAGAATTCTAAGTGAGGCATCTCCTTAGCAGCAGGCTGAATACTAGCAAGGCTATGAGTTTTAAGAGCTGGCACTGTGACAGGAGTTGTTTTTTTTTCTTTTTCCTGGTTTGTAGATTTTTTTTCCCCCTGGTAGTACCAGTAGCAGTATACTCCCATTATCTGCTTTGCTTCTACCACCTGCAGAAGGGTCTGGCAAGTGGGGGAGGAGCTGCAGCTGTTGCCTGGAAGAGGAGCTGGCTCCTAGCAACAGTATCAGCAGGCCCTGCAGCTCAGAGCAGTAAGCCTGTCCCTTTTGAGGTCTCATCCTTCATCTCAGTTGGTTCAGCAAATATCTGTTGAAAGCTTACTCAGTACTAGGCTCTATGTCAGGGCTGGGAAAGAGAAATGAATCAAATAAATACCTTGCCTTCAAAGAGCTCACAACTCTGGGGACATGAGTAAAGGGACAGACATAGTGCATAGTGCTAAGTGCTATACAGAAGGAGCCGTTGGTGCTCTGGGAAAAACCAGGCCTGCACTGGTACAGGGGTTAGGGAAGTTTTCCCAGGAGAGGGATGGTGGCATTAATGATGAGCAGGAATTAGCTGGGTCAGGGAAGCAGAGGAGGGTGTTCCGGCCAAATGGGCAAAGGACAGTGGGACAGCCAGTTTACGTGGGTAGTATTGCATGGCCAGAGCAAGACATAGGGAAATGAGGAGGAAAGGGTGAAGCTCTCAGCTTAAGCAGAGCCCTCTTTTCTCATGTGTTCCACACACATAATTTTCCTTGGTAGAAACGTGGATTATGCTGATGGCCACAAACAGGATCAGCTGTTTGATCTTCAGACACACACCATTTGTGATCACTGACTTGATTGTTTGCTGACACTTTTAAGTGTCATCATAGCTACCTCCTAGCCCTGCATTGATGCAGAAAAAGCTGAGTTGGTTCACTCTAAAAGTCAATGGGAGTCTTTCAGAGATAATAGCTTTTTGACCTATATTATATTAAATTTAACTCTCTTCTTCCTTTAAATTGATGTAGAAATGATAATCAAATATTTTCATGTAATGTAGCAATGTCTTGTGTATTTTAAAATCTCATAGTTCTTCAGGAAAACAAGTGTTCATTCCAGTTAGTGCCTGGGCACAAAACGTCACCCACGTGATCGTACAAATATCCAACTGTTTTTGATACTTTGCCTAACCTCTAACGTGCCCTAGTAGAGCCTTAACAAAAGTGATGCTTCAAGGGCTAGAAGAGCTTTTATTTAGCTCTTGTGATGGCAGTCTTTATTTGTAAATCCAAAAAAAACGTTGTTACTTGTGGTCTTTGTAAGGTTTAGCAAATAAGAAAACCTGAGTTCTGCCAATATCTTCTCAGGGCCAGGTAACATGCCGGAGCACTTTGTTAGGAAGTCTGGTTGAATTAAACATGGACCCTTTTCTCAAGGAGCTCAAACCAGCAGAACACAGACCGAGAAACAAATCAGTAGCAGAACAGTGAGCCAAGTACAACAAAGAAGTGTGAGGAAGGTGCCATGGTAGCAAGGGAATTACCTCATTTCTAGTCTTTATTCTGTGTGCAAACATGGTTTAAAAAACAAATAATAAATTCCAAATGTACTATTCCTAACTTGCAAATCAATAACAATTTTAC